ACTTCAAATCAGCTCTTGGTGTACCTGATAAACCCAAAAACTAAATTTTCGCCCGCCAGTGCCTTGCTTCACGAATGCAGAAGGCTGAAAAATCTATCGATGCATATCTTCAAGCACTGAAACAATTGTCAAAAGGATGCAATTCAAAAGCTGTGACAGCAAAACAAAATCATAATTATAGTATAAGTGTTGCCTTCATCGCCGATTTGTACTCAGCCAGTATACGACAGCGATTGCTCGAAAACTAAATTCTGTGAGTTTTTTATTGCCATCCTCGTCAATAAATGCGTTTTTAGTAGGTCCATTATCCAGTTATTCTGATATTGCCGTAAATGCCGCTTCTCGTAAATTCTAATCAAATAAATGCTTCTTGTGTGGCAAGCAAAGACACGCAAGGAACCAACATCCAGCTTCAGGAGCAAAATATAATAACTGTTAGAAGAATGGACATTTCGCTGAAGTTTGTGCTATAGTAGGCGAACGGAAAGTAGAACAATAGTGCAGAAACAGTTGGTTGCTTATTATCAGCCACTTTACCGGGATGCCTCAGTAAAGCCACCGTACTAATCACTATCAATAGAATTAACGCTACAAGGTTCATTGATACCTGAAGAACTTCTAGTTTCATTCCATTGTTTCTTGTTATAACATGCAAATAATATCTTCCAATATGAAGATCTTCAAACCATGTGTCACAAGTGGAAGAAATTTCTATAGTGGATCTTGAAGTGAGAAATCATCTATACAAACATGTTTAAAAATCTGTTTAAAATCTGTTTTTCCGTTAATCAGCTGCCGCCCCCATACGAACGACAACTCTCAGAAGTTGAGAAACTTGTGCGAGCTAAGGACTAACGAGGTCTTACCTTTTAACGTGTGATTCCTAACATGGTTGCAGAATCATTCCAGCTTCAACCAGATAAATTCTTTCGAGAAAAATATCTGGTCGAGGCGGGAATCGAACACCGACCTTCCGATCGTGAGTCGGACGCACTACCACCGCGGCCAATTCCACAACACAAATTATTGATTTTGTATAATCTTCGTACAGATATGTACAGATCGTGATATTCCCGAAAATCACTCTGCAACTAAAGTTAATTTCGGTGGACTAAGGATTCCTTTCTAAATTTGCAGTTCAACACAGGTGTCAGTCCTACCGGTTACTCTTTTCGAAAATCTCTCTCCGAATTGCATGTCCATTGTTGTAAAATATCGCAGATATTCAAATGATGAAAAATTCATCGAATTGGAAATTAAAGGGAATTAGTGAGAAAAGTAAATCCCTTGATGGGCACACGTTCTTATTACAACAAATGTCAATTACAAGAAGCGTATGGTAATCAATTATGCTCAGAATATAACTAAATTTACGGAGATTCATGTATACCCACTTCTAAATATAGGTTGCGAAATATAGTCTACAGTACTATTGATTTTCACAGTGCTTATCATCAAATATCAATTTCTGAAAATGAAAAACTCTGTTGCTTTTGAAGCATGTGGAAATTCATTTCAGTTTTTGAGAGTTCCATTTGGAGTTACCAGTACAGTTTCTTGCTTACAGCGGGCAATAGATACAATCATAAGGATGTAGAGAAGAAATACAATCTCACCATCAATGAATCCATATCAAAATTTTCTCAGGTATCAATTGATCTATGATACACAATAAAAAATGGAAGAATAAGGCCCAACTGTGACTGTCTTACGTCTCTTCTAGATTTACCATCACCCATAGAACAGCTTTATCTTTGACAATTCATTGTGATGTTTTCCTATTATGCGAAATGGATTCCAAAATATTCTGAAATAATATAGTTACTCATTCAAGTTAAACAATATTCGATCAATTCATCAGTTCTAGAAACTTCAGAACACCTGAAAGCAGATATCGCGAAATCCATGGAAGTCCATTGAAGAAAACTTCCCATTCACAGTTGAAACAAATGCTTCAGATTTTGTAATAGCTGCTTCACTTACACACAATGGAAGACCTGTTGCATTCTATTCGAGAACACTTTCCGAAAGTGAGAAACGGTATTCAACTGTAGAAAAAGAAGCCTATGCCATCGTTGAAGAAAATGGAAATATTTCGGAAGAAATTTACCAATTACCGACCAAAAATCAGTTTTATTTTAAAGCTCCATTACCGCCTACATCAAAAAATCGTTACCAGTTGACAGTAGTAGAAGAATATTCAAGATTTCTATTTGCTTTTTCCAGTTCTGAATTATCCGCAGCAACTGTTATCAAACAACTGTCGATGCTTTTCTCACTATCTGGATTAGATAGTTATATCCATCCTGATCGTGGTTCTTCAGTGGTTCTTCATTTATGTCCTCGAAAGGCATTGCCACAAATCGAACTAATGCATATGATCCTCCAGGCAATGTCCAGTGTGAACGAAAGAAAGGAATTATTTGGAAAACAATTGAGTTAGCTCTTCATTCCAGAGAACTACGTTCCATATGATCTCTCTGCACTTCTACAAATGCTACACCACATGAACGGATTTTTTTACATAACAAAAAATCTGCTAATGGAAAATCAATGCCTTCTTGACTAACAACTCCTGAGACTGTCTTCACGAAAAGCCCGAACTAACACATATGAACCCTTCGTGGAAGAAGTCTAATTACTTGAATCAAATCCCGAATATTTGTATGTTGAATTAGCCGACGGCAGGGAAACAACTGTTTCGAACAAACATTTAGCACCACGTGGTGTAGGGAGATATCTGGAACCAACTGGCTCGAATTATCATTCTACTCCAATCGGCGTAAATCAAGAGTCTTAGTCAAATAAAAATGATATTGAAGATATATGATAGAATTTGCCGATACTTTATAAAAATCCATAACCAACGTATTCAAAAAATACTTTATTTTATAAAAACGCAACACATGTTTCGCCATACAATGACTTTTTCGGCCGTAAAGTAAAGACACGCCCGAAGAAGCCATTCTGTGGGGAAACACGTGTTGCGTTTTTGTAAAATCGTTTAGTGAAAATCTCACAATAGGTAAAGTGTTTTTTGAATACGTTAGATACTGAAGTTTGTTTGAACATACGAAACCCTGCAGATGATATATCTAGTGAACAAATCAATTCAAAGCCAATAACACCATCTGTTGGGATATATTCCGGACATATCTAAATCAAAAAACAGATGACCTATAAATTATTCGGATGACTACGATTGTTCTTAGGAAGTGAGGAAAAATATGATGGAAATCATATATATTTATTCCATCCAGCATCTATACTTTCTCTAGAAATAATAGTTGTTATTATCTGTCATATTATTATGTCATGTTGTATTTTGTTGACTGAGGCTAATTTTTAGTTTAATCTACCAAAGCGTAGTGAAAACTTTCTTGGTGTCGTAGATATCTACTACACCAATTTCCAGGGTGCTTATTTATCAGCGACCAACATCCTCATTCACAATTCTATAGGTTTATGTTTCTCATCGAATACGTCAGTCAGCAGAATATTTGATCCCTCAAGCTTTTGTATCAGTAATAGGAAAAATTCGGAAAGAAAGGTTTTGCCTCTCTATTTCTTCATCTTGATACAACAAATGGGAAAATCAAGCAAAAGCAATCAATTTTAAAAAGAGGTAACTCTATTCAGAGATGTGTAGATCGTACAAAGAAGTAACTTTCAGAAACAAACTGGAAGAAAAAGCTTTCTAAAAACAGTTTCTTTCATATACACATGACTTTTATATGAACACTGAATTAAATGGAAAACACTTTTCTCTTTTCACTTTGTATTCCAAATATTAGTTATGGAATTGAATCAGATATCAATCACAGGATTGCTACACAACATCATATATTATTATGTCAAATTAAATGAAGATTTACGAGATGAGAAATTGTATTTGTTTTTACTTCAATTGAATACTCAGCTTTAGAAATGAATATAGGATGATGATATTACAACCAAGAATTTGAGTACCCAAGTTTGGGAGTTGTAATCTGAATTTCTTTCAAAAGGCCTCCAAACTCGGAAACTTTTTTTCTACATAGTTCCAGTAAATGATTCCTTTCAAATTTGTTTTTGCCAACGGCCAGCTGCACCTTTCAAGCAACCGCAGTTGAGACTCCTCAAAGGCAATTTCCTTAAATTGAAGAACGTAATTATTGTGCTTGTAAGTCAAAAAACAATTTTGGCTTCCCTTGTCAAATATTCAATGCCGAATAAAATTTTCATACCAGAACAAAATAATTGGCAAACCAATGACTTTGTTTTTGAGTTTGACGTCTGTTGAAAAAAAAGTTATAGTACCCCTGCAAAATCTTGAATAATTTACCCTTCTGATTATTTATTTACATCATTCACTTTAATTCAACTAGTCTGCTTTCCTAATCGCTTGCTTTCACTGCAAATGACTGGAATGAACTTCGCAATATTTCAGTTAATTATGGAAAACTATACAGGCTTATACCTTCAAATTCATCTTCTCCACCAGAATGATTATTCGTTACTTCCAACACATTCTTGGTAGGTAACATGTTTCTGGCCTACTGCTAGATGTTTCGAAAATTACTCAGTGTTTCCAAGTATTGTTACGTTTCAGAATTTCTGAATAAGTTAAACTATCATTATTCATCCAAATGTATTATACACCAGAATTCGTTGACGTTTACTTTAAGCTGGCAATGATCGAATAACCTCAAGTACTACTACTTTTAATATTGAAAACAATAAGTTCAGTAATCTTTTCGTGAAAAATTTTTGGGTTTCTACAATAATAAAAAATTGTCATGGAACAAACATTGAAAATATAAAAGATCTGGGATTATTGTTAACTACAAAGAGTTATCAGTAGTAACAGTAAGTGTGTGAAAGATATTTTACAAATAACACTACATCACATCCATATACTTCGTCATGTTCGTCTATCTGAACGCGATACACTCAAAAACTACCGAACGGATTTCTATATGGTTTTCACTAATGGATGTGTCTATATTTGAGATTCTTACCAAGTGAGCCTGTCTAGTTTCATCGATGTAATGTGTGGTAATGATCACAGTAGTTCTTCCGTGCTTTGTTATTTCTACAAGGTGATTCCAGATGTTCGTTCTTAGAAGAGGATCGACTCCAACAGTTGGTTCGTCTAAAATGAGAAGCTCTGGTTCATGCAATAGTGTAGCAGCTAGAGAAACTCTCCTCTGTTGTCCACCACTGAGATTTTTTACTTGTCTATCAGCATCAGGCAACATGAGAAAATTGATGAAAAAGTCAACTTTTGCTTCTACTTCGTTGGTGGTCATGTTAGATATCCATCCAAAGTATTTCAGTGTTTCCCTGATGGTAAATTCACCATAGAGAGCTATTTCCTGAAAATAAAGGGATGCGGTGTATTAACTATTTTGTTGTAGCTGTAGAGAAAGTATTAAAATGATAAAGCTCTGGCTCTGTGAACGAAAGAATAATAAAGGATAATGAAAATATTAAAAATATCTGATACATGTGAACTTTTCATTGGTGGTTGAATTCAGATATAATGTAATACCGAACTACTCGCTCGTGAAAATTGGCAATTCAAATAGTATAGCTAATATCCACGAGTCTGTATTGTTTATTACTTTATATCACACTTTTACTCAGTTGTCCATGTTGCGCGTGTCAACAATACACTATCATTTAGTGGAGTTGGAAGTGAATTTTGGAAAAATTACGACTATTTATTTCGTCATCAGCTTAAGAACTTTAGGAAGAAATAGAAACATACCGTATGTCAAATTTAAAAGTTGTTAATGAGAATAGAACTGAAAATAAAGAAAATATTTGACTTATACATGAGAATTATTGAAATGTGTTTTTTGTGTATTGACACTGACAACAGATAATGTCACTCTAGTACAAAATATAGGTCAGGAACCAGTAAAAGGAATATTAACACTTTCAACGTCTAACAGATATCCACCACTAAATGGGAAGTCGCTCTCTTCATTCCTGCAGTTTCCACTACAAAACTAATAACTAGAATTCAAACGTTTCATACATGACCTGGCCTAGTACCACTGATAAAATCTACTACACATCGACACAGCTTTGTCTGATTTCGGATCATAAATACATCGTTTTCAAATTTTAGTATCATCTGACAATAGGAGAAAAAAAAACTGATTGAAGTTCTAGGTGGTAGTTAACAGAGTGAATTTTCCGAAAAGTGTCTGGGATGTTCTTGACATCACTTTTTCATTTCCAAAATATAAGTAGTGACAATCTTTAAATCTACATGCTTTCCGAAATATTTGAATAAATGTAACTCCAGGAGATGAAGTTGATGGGATTCTATTACGGAACTATTTATGAGCTAAGTTGTGTCAGCACAGTATGTGACATCAAAAACGTTCTAAGTACAGACATAAAAATAATCAGGATAGATTGGTTTATAGAGGTGTGTCATAAGACTGATTAATTGTTTATCACGGAAATATTCATGTAAAAAATATAAAACAGGAAAATTAATAACAAATGTATCAATATTTCAAATAACCTGTGATAGTTTCAGAAGTATCCAAACGGACGGACAGACGGTAGCCAATCGGTTCGACGTGGGTGCTTTGTTCACTCACTCGAATTGACCGCGTTGTTCGTCGGTGGTTCAAGCCCCAGGCTGGACGATCGATTTTCACTTGCTATCGTCCAACCCGTGTTAGGAATCACACGTTAAAAGGCGAGACCTTGTTAATCCTTAGCTCGCACAAGTTTCGACTTCTGAGGATTGTCGTTCGTAGGGGTGCGACAGCTTGTTAAACAGATTTTGAACAGATTTCGACCTCCTACGCCTTTCTACCGAAGCGTAGGAGGTCGAAATATTTTCTTTTGTTTCTTGAATTAATTCAGACATGCGATTGGTTACCTCGTTCATGGGCAGATGTGGCGATGACAAATTCGATTTTCAATTATAGGAAATCATCGACTTCATGTTGATGATAGACACTACCTTGCACTGACAAGTGACCAAACAGACGGAAACGGTCTGCAAGTGTGTTCCAATAATTGAAAATCGATTCCGGCAGTCGTATGACCAATTGCATATGCAGGAATAACTTCTGAAAAAATCCTGCATTGACACCTGTCGAATATAAAAATAACCGCGTGAACGCAAGCGAGACATAAGTGGAACCACCTATTGGTGTAACACCCAAGTCAACTTTCCAAGTTTTCATGTCAGTGTTGGTGGTTTGACCAATCAACCGACAACTGTCCTCAATCGAGGATCGCCTGCCCGGTACTGACGATGCCCAATAGGCTGAAACAGCTGTGTACCGGTGGCTCTCAAACTGAAATCAATATGGGAATGATCAGAATGGTACTTATTCATTTATCTTTTGATTTTCATGGAATATTCTTTATTGGTCTTTTTTTTTAATTGTCCAGCAAATGTCCATTCCGAAGTATTTGAAGAATAGTTCCAAAACTGGAAAAACAATCCATATTACAATTTTGAAACATATTATAGTTTGTACATTAAACTTGAACACGGAAACAATCATTAATTGACAAAAGAATAATTGAGAGAAAAATTTCGATACATTTTTTTGCTGGCGGATGGTCTTTCATTCAATTATCTAGCAAATACACACATTTTTATTCCTTGATATTCATATTCAATCGGTTAAAATTATTTTTGTTGAAGCGTTTCAATTAAGCTTCGCGTATACGATCTGAAACATTCGTTTTTACCCGTATTTCCACGGGTCAATTAAAATTATATATACTGGTGCTACGGTTCCAGAACTTTTTTGCCCTAAGAATATCGTTTCAAATTTTGCATATTTTCCTTAGTTTTTGAGATAATTGGAAAGAACCGAAAATCTCTTTTTTCTGAACTGAATCGTTCATTACTTTAAACTATGTATATATACTTGGTTCAAATCGTAATTTACTCTTCGTGAACTTACGAATCGAATGACACCTCAAAGTATTTCTTTTGAGTTGTATTAAAATTTTGGAAAATGGCACATATTTCTATGAGGAAATCTTGAAAACTGGTGGTTCACTTCATAAGAAAGAGAACACCAAGGCCTCGGCTGTATTGTTCTAGAGTTTCCGGAACTGGTATGCAGGTAGAGTCGGTTGTATAACAATCCCATTGAAATTTTTTTTGATTTAATTACCTGTGGCATGTAACCAACTCTTGGTCCAGGAACTCCGCTGCCTTTTGATCCCGGTGTTCCTCCAAGAACCCATAACTCACCAGCGTTGAGCCTTTTTCTTCCCACTATACAATTGAGCAACGTAGTTTTGCCACATCCACTTGCACCAAGTAGCCCATATCTGTAATAAAACATAACATTTCAGTCCAAGATTCAAATAATATTCAAGAATATAATATAAAATATTCCTCACTATTTATGAAGTTTGCGAGTATGACATCTTTATTAGACCTTAGCCGACTTCAGTAACTAGCCGTGGTGAGAGTGAAACGGCAACAGTGTCAATGATCCTATGCTTTGTGATTGAGTATATGAGTTTGAACAATATTTGAAAGTATTGTTTTACCATATGTTTTAGTTGATAGTGAAAGTGTTGTTGAAGTTCTCCAAAAGCGGCAATAATTTTGAGTGTAAGAAAATTTGAGAGTTCAGTGGCCGTTGTGTTACTGGTTACTGGATGTGAATCAAAGTACACCTATGAGGACAAGTATGTTACAGTTTTTTATTGGGTGTCTACAAAATCTAAAAAAATAATGGATTTCGTCTTCTAGTTTGGTGGTGTGTATAACTTCATTAGGGATGTCATTAGTTTTGCCAGATGAATAACCATTCAAAATGCCTTGATAAGAGCTCCACAGTTTGTAAAACCCGCAGAAACGGAAATTGGAAGCTAGTATATGGTAATGATATACTAGTAACGAACCTGTTACTTATGAATGTTATCGACGGAGTTCAAAAATTTTGTGTATTTTAACTGATAATTGCAGATTCAATCAAAGTATGTTCAGAAAATTGTCAAATTTGAAGAAGTTGCAGAATCCATTGAAGAATGAAAAAATCTATATTTCTTCCTTATAATTTTGTTCATACCTTGAAACATATGCGAAACCACTACCAAATAACTGTTCCATTACTTTTTCAATTTTTTAAGTAAAGGAACGATTATAGAAAGAAACCAGAATTCGCGGTGCTAATGATTTATGAATACATTTTTTTCATCACCAGAAATGAAGAACTTTGTAATTGCAGATTCGAGAGCTTTGGATTTATTCTATACCAGAGGTTTCGGTTATACTATTCATTTCTTAGTTAGCTGGCTTTCGGAAACGTTCCAGGCAGCACATTATTTCTTTTACTTTTCTTTAATAATTTGCCTTCAGAACAATTAAATTAACTGAAAAATACACGCAATTTGCTTGCTCTTCATTTAACAGTGGAGGACCCCTACCTTCAACATGTTGTGTTGTCACTTAATTCATTACGGCTACTTAGTGTAGCCGGCTGTGCTGAGACCAAATTATCTACTCCTTGAGATTATATTCACATTTATCTGATCAGTGCTTATGCACTGTTGGCTAGTATCTGGACAGAACCTTGCTAATGAGACTTTCGATGGTACAACTTCAGTATTAATGAGATCAGATAGCGGTGAATTGGTAGAATGGTAGTGCGCTCGACTCACAGTCGAAAGGTCGTGAGGTCCTTGACCAGATAATTCTGTCGAGAGTTTATCTCGTTGAAGTTACATGGATAATGACTACGACCACCCATGATAGCTAGGTAGCTCGGATAGTTATTAACATTGCCTAGCCAGAACAACGGGGTAAATGACCAAAAACAGACAGGTACCTAGATTTTAATTTTCGTCTGTTTCCTGCTCTCATAAAATTGTTTTCATGCTGACGGAATAGGTATGGAAGTTCCTCTGTACAACCTGTCAGAAATTGGCTGTTCTTGAGCACATTTCTTCGTTATTCTGGGCATGTTCTATCCATGCAGACTTTTCAGTATGTCCAGGCAGGATACCTTGTATGTATTATGTGTTGTTTATTGTACTCGCTTGACTCAATTTTTGGCCGAGAAAATCATGTATATCGCGGATTAAACATGTCCATCTTTCCTGAAAGTTGACCTCACCGATGATTGTATCATTCCTGACGGAATATTCTGTACAATTCATCCTTTAGTCTTGTAATTGTGTCGATTAATATAATATCCTTTGGTGTTGATTGCGTGATAATTCCGTTCCTCGAACGGATATCACTTTTGAAAAACACTTTTCAACAACTGAAACTTCAGTATCTGTATAATTGAGTATTGGTTTCGTTTTTTTACCTTATATGTCGACAGAAACAATATTCTTCTTTTTCATTCAGTATTTCACTTTTTACTTTTGATAACAGAAAAAAATCCATTACTCATTTCTTATTGATTGTTTCGGTTATTTCATCACATCACGTCAGTTTTTCACTCAAACAGATCAGTACCCATATTTTTATTATCAACTTTTCTCAGTTTCAATATACTGGCTTGCTTTCTACGAATCTGCTAAATATAGGAAATTTAAATCAAATGAATGAAAAGACCAATTTTTTCACTCATTTGGAAGTTGAATACGCTCAAAAACTTGAAAGGTTAAAGTGAAAACTAAAAATATGAGTTGGAGCGGACATGAGAAGGAAACACGAAATGAAGCCTACCTTTCGACGATTTTCCAACCTTCGAAATAATATTATATTTATACTAATTTTGTGTTCCTACACATTTTCTTTTTTTTTTTCAAATAACCGTTGCTTATTTTTCTAAAATTTTCATTACTAGCTATTTATTTTATATCACAATACTAGTTTTTCACTTACATACATCCCTTTGGTACGGTCATGTTCAAACCATCCAAAATAACACAGGGATTGTTTTTCGTTCCATATCTTTTGTAAGCCCTCCTCACACACACAGCCTGTTGTCTTCGGGTGTGTACTGTTGACATTTGGCCTTTGAATTGTCTCCTACGCAGCTCGAGGTCGCTCGGACCCTCCGTCATTTTGAAGTGGGTAGTAAATTTTCTGTAACAAACATTATGAAAGATTAGATGAGAACTATATGATTAATAGATGTTTTTCGTTCATTTTTGGCAGGGTTTCTCAAAGTGCGACGTATGCGGTCTGTTACGAGCAAAATAGTGTGAAGCTATTGACATCCACAAAGTATACTGAGAAAAAAATGTTGAATTATTATTTTTCCGTTTAACGACTTTAGAAACCTACCTTCTTTCAATATGATACGTTCATTAACTGGCTTGGTAAAAAACAACCGTTCTAGTTTTTGAAGCCTTCTGAAGGGGTGAAAATAGTGTGGATACTAATAATCAAAACGTAGGTTTGAAATCTATTTTTTAATTTTTTCTTCAATTTCTTTTCTTTAATGTTTCTGCCTATTTTCATTTTTGTTCTTTTTTATTTGTTTTTCTCTGTTGCCATTTTTATTTTTCATCATGATTATATTATTCGTTTTATTGTATTTTAATTTCGGGTTTTAATGCTGAATAGAATTGTTATTTTATTCTAATTTTATTTGTTTTTTCATAGATTTCGATCAGACAATGGGAGTCCGAACTGATGAAATTCACCATGAAAGATTGTAAACCACTTTAAACAAATATCTTAGTTTGGTAGGTGTACAAAGTCAGGTTTTGAAGTTTTTCAAATATAAATTAATGGAAATGGCCGTTATAATATGTGATGGTAGATCATCATGAAAAATGAGAAATAAACCTTTCTGTTTTTCACTACTTTTATTTGTAACTAATGTTACTACAGTTTCTTCCCATAAGGACAGTTTCAAACAATTACAATAAACTGAAAATAAATCATAATAATAGCCCTTATATATCTACTTTAGGTAATAATAGAGGTCCTAAACTCAATTGAGTAGCTGAAATTTGTTTACCTGTGTGACAATGTCGATACGCTAATTTGAAAACTGGTGACTGATCTAAATCAATTTGATCATTTAGCACGTTACATTCGCGATGCTTATGATTATGAATTTCCAAGGATTCCAAATAATTGAGTTTCCAGCCCTTGCTTGCATAGTGCAAAATTTCTGTATCGTTTAGATTCGGGAACTTGTGGTTGCATGCCAAGGAATAGTTTGAAAACGTCGAATCATTTTTACCTATTCTGCAGGACCTTTCATGTTCAGCATACCGTTTTGAAAAATCTCGATCACACTGTCCCACATAAACACTATCACACTCCGGACACTTGAACTTATAAACTCCAGATTTCTCCATCTTGTCCACTTTATCTTCGGCATTGAAAGGAATTCAGATAACCTGGCATGTGGTCTGAATACCACTTCCACTTTTTTTTTAATAAACCTGCAATTTTCTCTGTTTTTTTTTACCAAAATATGTTAGAGTTATAAATTTCTTGATTTCTGGTTGTTTGATCTGGGAGATATTAATCTGTAAGTTAATTTAAGACTTTGTTTTCTAATTAACTTCTGGATTGTGTCGACGCCGCGACGATCAAATTTCCCTATCTAGATTATCAGCAGATGAAGGTAGCGCAACATTGAATTGCAGGCAACTAATTTATGACTGTCGTGATGAAATGAATCACTTAGGATTGTAATGTCTGTATAGCTCGAATTTCTATATACATTAAACTCGAATTTATCCTAATCATGTGTAATAGTCCTATGAAATTAATCTGTTTCTATATCTCCCGTTTTGAATGTGAACTGTATATTTCAATCGAGATTATTCATAAATGTTATAAATTGGTTTAGCTGTCGTCAGTGGTGTTTGGCGTTTCGTGAGGGGGGCTGTGGGGCCCACGGCCCCAGGCGGCATATGAAAGGGGGCGGCAGGAAGCTCTAATTTATTATTTCGGAAAATGTTAAATAAATAATAAGATATTCGAAATCGCGCACGCAATGTTACGTACGTGCCAAGCTAAAGGGTAGTTTAGCGTGCAAAAGAGAGGCGGCGAACGAGGTGGAGTCGAATGCAGCGAAAGTGTCGGCAACCATCTTAAATTAACAAATTTTGCTATTTTTACCATAGAAAACGAAATGAATGTTGGTATAGGTGGTTGTGTAAAGGTCTTTGCATACAAAATAACACGTGAAGTAAATTTTTAATCAAATTTTTGTGCAAAAAATACTCTAGCTTAGGGATTAGTGTAGGATTTATGAAAATAGGTTGACTGTTTTACTTACTGATCTCTTTATTGCAAACTCAATTCAAACTCATCTCAATTGATGTTATACAATACTTGAATCTCGGCTGAAGGTGAGGCCCATATTTGTCGGTAATCATCGATTTCTCTAATTTAAAATGCAACGTTGATTTACTGGTCAAGTTTTTTCTCTGCGTTATGAGATTTCAGTTAGCTCTAGTTTATGTCAGGGTTGGTGGTACCACCAACCAACACCGACATAGAAATTTGGCAAACTCAGGTGTCACACCAATAGGTGATTCCACTTTTGTCTCATCAACGTTAACGTAATTATTTTTATCAAATCCTCTTCTTGGTTCTTCACATTTTGTCTTCGATCGGGGACTACCTGCCCGATATTGATGAAGCACAACAGGCTGAAACAGCTGTCTACTGGTGGCTCTTGAGTTGAAATCAAAGTGGAAATGAATAGTACTCATCTATTTATCTTTTGACGTTTTCCGATGGCATTCCAGGACAGCTTTTCAAATTTCTGTTAATGCAGTTGTCGATTTTAAAGAATGGTCAAGCCACCAAGACCTGCTTCTCAAACCATACATTTGTGTTGCTTACCTATCTGACCAAGGTAGACACAAACCGACCATCGATCAGGTTCTAACTAGAATCAGGAAAATGTAGCATGATGTATCAACCTGGAGATTATTCTCAACAAGGAAATTTTGGCTCTGGTAGCAGTATACATAGTCTGTGCATGACCCGTCTGAGGTTCAAATCAGTTTTTTAGTTTTTAGCAGAGTCATACTCTTGCGAGGTAACCTGACGGATCACTCACCAAATAAAGTAATAGATTTCGTTACGAAACCGGATTTATTTGATCGTGTTCAAACGAGTCACAATGAACGTAGGTTGCAGTGGAGGGTTGAATGAAACATTTCCAGAAATGTTCCTCGTCATGTTAAAGAAAATTTGGTTTCCTTGTATAAGTATTGGAGAAATAATTGAAAGATCTGGTGGGAAATAGTAACAATTTTTCTATACACCAGAACTGTAATAATCGTCTCGACGCGCGTTTAAACACCCAGTCTAAAAATTATTTAATATTTATTCGTCTTCATTGATTACTATTTTTATTTTATATTCATAGAGTTCAATTAAGAACATAGTACTGGAGATACTAAGATAATGAAAAAATACATAGTTCATCTCCAACGGAACAAAATGAAAGAGAATCTGGGAAGTCCAGCGAACTACTTGACATTAACTGTATATAAAAATCTTTTTTTACTTTGAAATTCACAAACAGATTCCAAAAGACCATTTATATCAAGCTTTAAACAGGAAATACAGTCAAATTTGGTCAAAAACACTCAAATATTCATAAACCACGTCCAAAAAAGTTGTCTTGGATTTACCAGTCTTAGAAATTAGGTGCAAGCTTGAAAAACATTGAACAATGTTTTCATAAAAAGAACTACCGATTTTTATATCCGGTTCAACCTATTTACTACTAATGGTTGTCAGTAATAATAGAAAAAGATTTTGATAATTACAATTCTGGAAACCAAGTTGCTTATCACCTGCTTCACGCCGTTAGCTCTATATTCACAATATAGCTTTGGAAAAAATGTGTTTTTTCCATATGATACCGGTACCTACCTATAGACAAAACAAAATTGCGACCATAACTTTCAATGTGACTTTCTACGTAAAAAAACAAAGCAACTGCAACCTTTTTTATAACGCATGTCATCCTTGAAATAACATATGCCATCGCAGATTTTTTCTATAGATCTTTAAAAGATAGGCAATTAGTGGTGAATTATTTTGTTATATTAGAAAAGGATTAGGCAGCTTTTTCGATGAAAGTTCCCCGGTTACGCAGAGGTATCACTTAGGGCTCGACTTTGCATGAATAATATCGTCATATCACAACCAATTAGCACAAAACATTGATGAGTTATGCACATAAACCTCCCTCTTGAATCACTTCGTCCATTGGTGAAAACCGTATGAAAATCCATAGTGCATAACTTTTCCGTTCATCAGACAGCCAAGAATTTTGTTTTCTATGGGAATAAACAATACGAAGGGAAATCACGTCTACATCTAGAAAGTTAAGAATTGATAAACAAATTTAATTATTTATTTCCATTCCATATGTGCTCTAATTTGAAAATGTTAAATAATGAACCAGAAGATACAAATCCAAATACGATCCAATTTTCATAAATTTGGGAGCAATCAGGTTAAAATTCTCAAATTCACCGGTTGGTTTGTGAAAAATGACTCACGGTCGGGTATGTAAATATTATAAAGTTCATCCATATGTTTCTAATATATCCGTCATTTCGTGATAATAACTAGAAGCTCCTTGCACAACCAGCAGAACCTAATTAAAATAAACCAATTAAACCAATTAAGTAAATTAATTCTACTCAATGTGTTGCCTAACACAACGTGTTGACTTGAACACGTATCAACCAGATTTGGCTATTATTGTTACAAAAAACAATATTGATTCAGTTGAAAAAATGCATTTAGGATATATTCAGTGACATAATGTTTGTCACATCGAGCTTCCATTGAACTTACGGTTGAATAGATCAAATTTTTTGAATTATTTTTTGCATATCTTCTGAACCGCTCGGTATATATCTAAACAAGGAAACAAGATATCTAAACAAGAAACGCTTCTATTGAAAACATCTAACTTTTATTATATTGGCAAATATTTGAAATAAAGTAATGTATTTGTATCTGAAACTTTTATTCTGAAAATTTTTCAAACACAAACTTTTATAGAGAGCTTCATTCGACACAATATGTATATTACTGAAATAGTATTTGGGAGGATGAGATCGGATACGTATAGAAATATA